TGAACTATTTTCCTAGGCTAGGATGAAGCTAGAGGAAACTGATTTCTTCAGACTAAATATCTATACTATTTCATTGGTCGAATAGCTCATATGTTTTATCTCCTTAACGTTCCTATCATAACGATACACACAAATTGCCGTGTACACTGCTTACCCTGTGTTCACTGATTACTATGGTGCACCTAGTGGTATGCACTTATTACCTTGCAGTGTACAGTGGACCCCCGCATAACGATTACCTCCGAATGCGACCAATTATGTAAGTGTATTTATGTAAGTGCGTTTGTACGTGTATGTTTGGGGGTCTGAAATGGACTAATCTACTTCACAATATTTCTTATGGGAACAAATTCGGTCAGTACTGGCACCTGAATATACTTCTGGAGTGAAAAAATATCGTTAACCGGGGGTCCACTGTACAAGAATTACAAAGCGGTGTACACGGATTACCCAATGTTGTTTATGAATTACTTAGTAGTGAACACACGTTACCCAATGGTATACATGGGTTATATAGTGTACACATTACCTAGTGTACATGAATTACTCATGTTCACAAATTACTTGATGTGTAGGGATTACACAGTAGTGTAAGTAGATTACCTAGTGTCCATGGATTAATCTTTAGTATGTGAGGAATTTTTCAGTTTTCATTTTCTGCATAATATCCATACCACACAATCTGCTACATTTCCACCTCAGCTGCCTCCTTGCTGCAACATTCAAAAGACCATGCCTCACACCCACACACGGGTTGGCACATGTATACACTGACATATTGCCCCATTTTACATCCGGTGGCAAACTTCATTGTTTTTCCAAATTTCTCAGCATCTCAGTTACTTTCCCTTATCTTTTATAGATCTATCTGCTGACACATTCACTCCCAACTATCTGAATAAAATAACTTCCTCCATACTCCTTCCTCACCATAATGCATTACCTAGACTTTATAATCATCACCTTGCTCTTTTCCTTGATAACTTTTAACATGCATCACACAGAGTACATAATACCATAAACAAACCATACCATGGGCGGGGTTAGAACCCGCGATCAGTCATAAAACTCTCTGATTGCGGGTTCTAACCCCGCCCATGGTATGGTTTGTTTGCAATCGTGTCATTATAATTTCATGAGCACATAATACCATGTGTGTATAGACTAGACATTGTGCAACTGTTAGGAAGCTTTCATTAGGATATGTTTTGCTCAACAGGAGAATTTTCAGTGCTATACAGCATGGATACAATGGGTGAAAATAGTACAGGAGGACAATTGTAAAATAAGTGTCTTGTGGAGTATAATAGTTTCACTTGACACCTGTCTCTTGGCCACCCAAGATAAAGTTAATGAAAAGTTTTCAAGCATTAAAACTCCTAGTGTTCTGCACAACTGTATTGCTCAAATGGATATTATTATTATTATAATCAAGGGGGAGCGGTAAACCCGTAGGATTATGCAGCACCTGTGGGGAATTTGTTAGGTATTCAGGCTTAACTCAGGGAACTGGAGCACAGATCCAATTCCCTAAAGCAAGAGCCGCTCATCAACATCAAGGAACCTTCCTTGAGGGACTCAAATGGATAACTACTGATTCAAGGCAATGACAACTCTAAATCCTCTCTTTTGTGGATATGTCTGACCTCACTCCAATTCATTAGATGTACATGGTGATTGCTAGATATTTCACATGCACTAGAGTATATGCCTGCCATATAGATAATGTATGCCCCATACATAGGAATAGTCATGGCCATTAAGCCAACTGCTTTCCTACTTCAACTTGCTTAACTATTATTATTGTAATCAAAATTAAGTGCTAAACCTACAAGGGTCATACAGCAATGACTCACCAACCCCACTTCCTTCTTAAGAAATCTTATATCCACCTTCATATCACCATCTACATTTAACAGCTTAACAAGTCTCTCTCCATCTCTGATACTTCTATCTACTTGCACAACATCCCCCTACTTTGCTCTTAACTGCCAAGTCTATTTACTTCCTAAGTTACCTTGCCTCATTTATCTCTTAATTAAAACTTTTCTATTACTGTATCAACAATATTTGCCTCAAGGGCTAGGCATGAGATGGAACTGAGGTTTTTCAAAACAAGTCAAGCCATGTTAGTGACAGTACACCTCAAAGTGCTTGTTTTCATTCTCGTATCTGCAATAATTTCTGTGCTCACAGATCTTTTTAAGGAAGGAGAAGTATCTGATTAAGTGCCTACACAGATGTAGTAGTAGTGTACATCACTCAGTGCTCTTAGCAATAAAATATTATATACAACACACACAATAAAGATAAAATTAACAAACAATAAAAACTATGAACTTGAATAAAACACAACACAAATAAATACTATCATTCCAAGTTAAAATAACCAGCATCAGTTAAAAACTCACTAAATTATTGTCAAAAGACATCCCCTAAAAGTTACCCAAGATTCCTAAAGGCATCCTAGTAATTATAAAAATCTTGACAAAGGCAGAAAGGACTAGGCTGTATGAAAACAGTCTAAAACTGTTTCAAAGTCAGATGCACACCACAAGCTGCACAGAAGGCAGGAGCACAATCACCTGCTTACAGGTGGGTATGGGTGAGCCATGTGCACTCAATCCTCAGTCAACAGACTGATCTCGAAGTGATGATTCCAGAAGACAGCTAAATACAGCACCCACATTCTGTGTAACTTGTTGTGCAGGGCCCACCAAACCCACTACTTTACCAGTAATATATCTGTGAATATGGCCCATGAAGTCACTGTAAGGCAAATCTATAAAGTGGGCTTGCTACAGCAGCCTCTGCCTTGGCATCTGCCCATTCATTCACGTAACACCAACATGACTTGGGCACTAACAGAAACCCAACATCTTTGTGCCATGCATAGAGTTGAGCTAACCACTCCTTAGTCTTTTGGACTACAGAAAGGACAGAAGCATATGGTGCCAGGGCCCAATGAGCCCACATAGAATCAATATAACATGTAAATTACTGGGAATGCCTCAGTGCACTTGAAATGTAGTGTGGAACTGGAAACAGATACCAGCCAAGATACATATAGCACATGGAAAATACTCCAGGGAAGGTCCCCAATCTACACATTGCCATAATCTACTGGAGCCAGACTGACAGAAAAAAGTAGAAAATGAACTATGAATACTGTACTCAAGTTGTGGAAGTAGAGACTGCTCCTGGCCTTTCTTTTAACTTCAAGATTGGCTGGGAAATACTGGTTCCTGACCTGTCACATGTATATCAGCTTCCTCACTACTGAATATATATGGTATGTACATACCATCTGCATTACTGCACCACATAGCTATGGGAGTGGCATGGATTATTATTATTATACAGTGGACCCCCGCATAGCGAACTTAATCCGTGCAAGAGGGCTGGTCGTTATGCGAAATGTTCGCTATGCGAATTAATTTTCCCCATAAGAAATAATGGAAATAAAATTAATCCGTGCAAGACACCCAAAAGTATGAAAAAAAAAATTTTTTACCACAAAAAAATGTTAATTTTAGTACACACAAACTGAAAAAGGCATGCACAATTACATGACACTTACTTTTATTGAAGATCTGGTGATGATTGATGGGATGGGAGGAGGGGAGAGAGAGTGTTAGTGTTTAGAAGGGGAATCCCCTTCCATTAACACTTGAGGAGGCAAGTCCTTTTCCGGGGTTACTTCCCTTCTTCTTTTAATGCCACTAGGACCAGCTTCAGAGTCACTGGACTTCTTTCTGTCCATAGAGCTCTGTACCTCCCGTTCCTTTACGATTTGTCTAAAATGGGCCATAACATTGTCATTGAAATAGTCACCAGCACGCCTTGCAACAGCTGTGTCAGGGTGATTTTCATCCATAAAGGTTTGCAGTTCAACCCACTGTGCACACATTTCCTTAATTTTTGAAGTAGGCACAATGGATTCCACAACTGGCATAGGCTTCTCAGGGTTAGCCCCAAACCCTTCAAAATCTTTCTTAATTTCCATACTAATTCTCACCCTTTTTACCACAGGGTTGGCACTAGAAGCTTTCTTGGGGCCCATGGTCACTTATTTTCAACAAACAGAACCGAAAACACTGTAATAATACGAAATATTCCGAGTGTATGCTTGAATGTTACCGCGGAGGCTAGCTGGTAAACAATGGGACAGGCGGCACATGTGAGGCTGGCTGAGGCCGCACATTGGACGCGTCTCGGACGAAGTTCGCTGAGCGGGTTTTTGTCTACTATGCGGGGCAAAATTTTAGCGATCAAAGCGTTCGCTATGCGGAATGTTCGCTATGCAAGGCGTTCGCTATGCGGGGGTCCACTGTAATCAAAAAGAAGCGCTAAACCACAAGGGCTATACAGCGCTGCAGGGCAGGAAGAAAACGAGGGTATCAGCAAAAGGGAGATGGATGAATAATAGGTTACGGAGAACAGCGGGGGAGTGGATGGTGAAAGGGTAGAGGGCAGCAAGAGATTGAAGTAGAAAGGGTTGAGGGGAGTGTGAAAGGTATCATCATCAGAGTTTGTGGAGTAAATCAGTCGTTGTCAAGAAGTCAATGGAAGAGTCAGGATTAAAGGAGGGTCCATCAGCAAGAAGGGAAGGTAAAGAGAGAGTAGTAGTGCGGAGACGACGACGGAGGTAAATTCTATGTGCTCATTGATAGAGAGGGCAGTCTAACAGAATGTGGCTAATCAATACTGGAACTTGACACTGCTCAGAGAGAGGAACAGGGTGCCTCTCCATGAGATACCCACGAGTAAGATGAGTGTGGCCAATGCGAAGGCGGGAGAGAGTAGTCTCCCAAGGAGTGGCATGGAGGTTATGTAGACCATGGAAAAAATCTATCAAAATTAAAATAAGAGTCCAGTACATCTCTCCTCAAAATCATGGGTGCATTTAACAAACCCTCTTCTTATTTGTGGAAGCTTTTGTGCCGAGATCTGAATAAATTTACTGCATAGTACTATATTGGTTTAACAATAAGACAACATTACATTTTTTATTTATTTATTATATGCAACAGAACTCTGGTAAAATTCTATTAATTCAACTTTATGTAAGCAATTACAATCATGCTATAACCCCAAAAAAATATTTATATGTTTTAGATATATATATATATGAGTTGTGCTGTGTACATCTGCCAATATTAGCATGCTTCACAATATAGTAAAATGGCTAAGTGTATTTATTCACCTATACAGAAAATATACTGTTAGAATGTATGTTAAACAAAAGAATATTTTAAAACTACAACCTATAAAGAAAAAAAGGCAAACTGATGGCAAATTCCATGTTTTCTCCATAGTATATTACCTACTGACATTTAAGTGGGAAGTCCATCAGTTAATTTCAAGAAAAAACTAAAATATAAAGAATGTGATAGTCATTTAAGGTTATTAATTTCTGCAAACACATCTATGAACAGATGAATGATATACAGTATTGTACTGCTCATGTAAAAACTATTTGTCTATGGCAAGTGAGAAAATGCATTTACAGGTATATTTTCTTACCCCCAAGTTATACCTGAGACACGTGGTCAACATCTAATAAAAGTAATATTCGTAAATAAGACTGTACAATATGTTTTCTTTACTACACTAACTGCATCCAACCAAAATATGATGACCAAACAAAGAAACACATTCACTATCACTCATCCATTAGCTGTCTTGCCAGAAGTGTACAGGCTTAACATGTATAACCCTAGGAACTGCACCATCCCTGCTCATCCTTCAGAGTACAGACACCATGTGTCTGTACTCTGAAGGATGATCATAAAGAAAAATTTTTTAAGAATTATGCACATTAAAAATTGTTTGTTTTATGTTTAAATATACAGACTTTTATTAAGAAATATTTTCAATAACTATGCAAATTTAAAAAAATGACTATTTGAATTACTATTCAAATCAAATTTTGTACTCAAGGTTATTTCTATACATTATACAGCAGATAAACATTGGTAAATTTAGCCATGTTACAAAATTTGGATTAACCACCAACGTTCATCTTAAGTAGGGAAACCCTTTTCTTTTGAAATGTACCTTTCCTTGGTGTTACAGCTGCTTTACTGTGATTACTTTTTGATGCCTGTGTATGCTGAGTGACCTACAGGGTAAAAATGCTACATAAACGTCACAACTACTACTATTACTACTACTGCGTTTACTAAGGCACCATACAGAATTCACCCGTTTTAAAACAACATTAACAAGAGCCTACAATCTGCCACTTTGCTCAGGAAGCACTTGCAATTCAGTTATCATGGGATCTCTAAGCACAACATGAGCTTTTCTTGATACCAATTCTGTTATTACTTCCCACATGAAAGGAGGAACAGCATTTTAAAGTTTAGCTCCTGAAACTTTACCTCCACTTTTATTTCGAATAATATAAACTACATTATGAGCTTCATCATATTCAGGCTGCAGGGCTTCTTTTACACGGTTGAACCATGCAGTAAGTAACGGTCTCCCTTCACGAACATCATAGTCAGCCATACCTGGAAAAGTCACTCACGTTTACACAATGAAGACAGGATTTTGTTGAATAACATATATATATAATTTTATCACCCAATTCCTACTATACAAGAAATACACTGCCATCAGATAACTAATTCACTAATCACATTCAGTTTCTTTATCTGCTATGGAGCATAGGCATGGTTCAAACAATATTGCCTATTCTCTATAGATTCAGCTGATCTAAGATCATTTTATAATATATTAATGCTTTACAGAACCAAGAAGTAGGTAAGACATGAGTAACACATTTGTCTTTATTGTGGAGAAGTTTTGCCAACCAGTGGATTTATCAACTACTTCATGTCTTATATCATCTCCAGTATTCTCTATACTGGATTTATAAAGCCACTGGCTAGTAAATCATCTTCACCCTAAAGTTACCCAAGTCTTACACATGTATCTTTTTCATCATTTTATATGTTCTACCTTCAAAATCCCTCTATCACAGAATGTTGATTGCAGATGAAATAGCCGAGATGACAATCCAAAGGAGTGTCTGTAGAACTCCAGTTCATACAAATATCTTGGGAAACAGTCAAATCATCCCATTTCTCAACTCCTATACAGTACAACTGACCCTTGAACAACACTGGGATTAAGGGTATCAACTCCCTGCACAGCCAAAAATATGCATATAATGTCCGACTCCTCAAAAACTTAACTACTAATGGCCTACTGCTGACCAGAAGCCTTACCAATAACAAACAGTCAATTAACACAAATTTTGTATGTTATATGTATTATATATTGTATTCTTACAATAAATTAAGCTAGAGAAAAGATATGTTATGAAGAAAATCTTAAGGAAGATAAAGTACATTTACAGTACTGTAGTACTGTATTTATCAATACCGTTAGTTTATGTCGTCTGTTTACCAAATGAATCGTCTGTCAGTACTTACATCAATACTGTCTTATATGATATAAAACATGTGAAAATGAAATTCATATTTATTTATGATGTAATATTGCATCTTTATGCATGTTTACATTTCTCTCAACTGAGAATGGAACATGTATGATATTATTGACCTTTGTAGGTTTAGAGCTTAGTTATGATTATAATAATAATAATAATAATAATAATAATAATAATAACTATTTTACTATTATTATTATAAATTATTGCATCTTTACCATTATTTACACTTGACTGTGAATGGAACATGATTTGTAATTGTTTGTGTGTGTAATTTTGATAAATTTTAACTTTACATAACAGATCTGTGTATATTTTATTGGGGTGAATGATAAAATAGACTAGTATCTACATATATTTAATGCATTCATGACATACCTAACTTTTTCATAATTTTTTCTGTATATAAGTGGACCCGCACAGTTCAAACCCATGTTGTTCAAGGGTCAACTGTACTTTCATCCTATCAAACTTGTGTAATGAATTTAGATTTTTTTTTTTTTTCAACAAGTCGGCCGTCTCCCACCGAGGCAGGGTGACCCAAAAAAGAAAGAAAATCCCCAAAAAGAAAATACTTTCATCATCATTCAACACTTTCACCACACTCACACATTATCACTGTTTTTGCAGAGGTGCTCAGAATACAACAGTTTAGAAGCATATACGTATAAAGATACACAACATATCCCTCCAAACTGCCAATATCCCAAACCCCTCCTTTAAAGTGCAGGCATTGTACTTCCCATTTCCAGGACTCAAGTCCGACTATATGAAAATAACCGGTTTCCCTGAATCCCTTCACTAAATATTACCCTGCTCACACTCCAACAGATCGTCAGGGGCAACTGATATATCGGATCATTATTTAGTTGTAGCTACAGTTAGAGTAAGAGGTAGATGGGAAAAGAGGAAGGTGGCAACAACAAGTAAGAGGGAGGTGAAAGTGTATAAACTACGGGAGGAGGAAGTTCGGGTGAGATATAAGCGACTATTGGCAGAAAGGTGGGCTAGTGCAAAGATGAGTAGTGGGGGAGGGTTGAAGAGGGTTGGAATAGTTTTAAAAATGCAGTATTAGAATGTGGGGCAGAAGCTTGTAGTTATAGGAGGGTGGGGGCAGGAGGAAAAAGGAGTGATTGGTGGAATGATGAAGTAAAGGGTGTGATAAAAGAGGGAAAAAGGTAGCTTATGAGAGGTTTTTACAAAGCAGAAGTATTATAGAAGAGCAGAGTATTATGGAGAGTAAAAGAAAGGTGAAGAGAGTGGTGAGAGAGTGCAAAAGGAGAGCAGATGATAGAGTGGGAGAGGCACTGTCAAGAAATTTTAATGAAAATAAGAAAAAATTTTGGAGTGAGTTAAACAAGTTAAGAAAGCCTAGGGAAAGTATGGATTTGTCAGTTAAAAACAAAGTAGGGGAGTTAGTAGATGGGGAGAGGGAGGTATTAGGTAGATGGCGAGAATATTTTGAGGAACTTTTAATGTTGAGGAAGAAAGGGAGGCGGTAATTTCATGCACTGGCCAGGGAGGTATACCATCTCTTAGGAGTGAAGAAGAGCAGAATGTAAGTGTGGTGGAGGTACGTGAGGCATTACGTAGAATGAAAGGGGGTAAAGAACTGCTGGGATCATGACAGAAATGTTAAAAGCAGGGGGGGATATAGTGTTGGAGTGGTTGGTACTTTTGCTTAATAAATGTATGAAAGAGGGAAAGGTACCTAGGGATTGGCGGAGAGCATGGATAATCCCTTTATATAAAGGGAAAGGGGACAAAAGAGATTGTAAAAATTATAGAGGAATAAGTTTACTGAATAAGTTTACCAGGAAAAGTATACGGTAGGGTTATAATTGAAAGAATTAGAGGTAAGACAGAATGTAGGATTGCGGATGAGCAGGGAGGCTTCAGAGTGAGTAGGGGATGTGTAGATCAAGTGTTTACATTGAAGCATATATGTGAACAGTATTTAGATAAAGGTAGGGAAGTTTTTATTGCATTTATAGATTTAGAAAAGGCATATGATAGAGTGGATAGAGGAGCAATGTGGCAGATGTTGCAAGTATATGGAATAGGTGGTAAGTTACTAAATGCTGTTAAGAGTTTTTGTGAGGATAGTGAGGCTCAGGTTAGGGTGTGTAGAAGAGAGGGAGAATACTTCCCGGTAAAAGTAGGTCTTAGACAGGGATGTGTAATGTCACCATGGTTGTTTAATATATTTATAGATGGGGTTGTAAAAGAAGTAAATGCTAGGGTGTTCGGGAGAGGGGTGGGATTAAATTATGGGGAATCAAATTCAAAATGGGAATTGACACAGTTACTTTTTGCTGATGATACTGTGCTTATGGGAGATTCTAAAGAAAAATTGCAAAGGTTAGTGGATGAGTTTGGGAATGTGTGTAAAGGTAGAAAGTTGAAAGTGAACATAGAAAAGAGTAAGGTGATGAGGGTATCAAATGATTTAGATAAAGAAAAATTGGATATCAAATTGGGGAGGAGGAGTATGGAAGAAGTGAATGTTTTCAGATACTTGGGAGTTGACGTGTCGGCGGATGGATTTATGAAGGATGAGGTTAATCATAGAATTGATGAGGGAAAAAAGGTGAGTGGTGCGTTGAGGTATATGTGGAGTCAAAAAACGCTATCTATGGAGGCAAAGAAGGGAATGTATGAAAGTATAGTGGTACCAACACTCTTATATGGATGTGAAGCTTGGGTGGTAAATGCAGCAGCGAGGAGACGGTTGGAGGCAGTGGAGATGTCCTGTCTAAGGGCAATGTGTGGTGTAAATATTATGCAGAAAATTCGGAGTGTGGAAATTAGGAGGAGGTGTGGAGTTAATAAAAGCATTAGTCGAGGGCAGAAGAGGGGTTGTTGAGGTGGTTTGGTCATTTAGAGAGAATGGATCAAAGTAGAATGACATGGAAAGCATGTAAATCTATAGGGGAAGGAAGGAGGGGTAGGGGTCGTCCTCGAAAGGGTTGGAGAGAGGGGGTAAAGGAGGTTTTGTGGGCGAGGGGCTTGGACTTCCAGCAAGCGTGCGTGAGCGTGTTAGATAGGAGTGAATGGAGACAAATGATACTTGGGACCTGACGATCTGTTGGAGTGTGAGCAGGGTAATGAATTTAATGTTCTTTATTTATTTTTTAATGGAACAATATACACAAGTATTTAATTTCTTACTTTTCGACCTATTTCTCATTTTAAACTTTGAAAATGATTTGGCAAATATCATGAAGGCAAATCTATTACTGCAGGTCACTTTAGTTAATATATGTGCTGTTAAGTTATACAGGACTTTACCTAATTGGAGAACTCGACCTTTTAAAAAATTAATATCTGTATCAGGTCCATCCCCCCAAGCTAAGATTTTGTTTGGATTTTTAACCCTGGAGGGTTAGCCAACCAGGATAACTCAAGAAAGTCAGAGCATCATAAAAAATTATCTTATTTCCACTGGGGTCCTCAAATCTTATCCCCCAGGATGTGACCCACACCAGCCTACTAACACCCAGGTACCTACTTGCTTTTTAAGTGAACAGGACAGTAGACATAAGGAAACATGCCCAATGTTTCCACCCTTGCCAGGGATAGAACCATGGGCACTCAGTGTGTGAAGTGAGAGCATTGCCTACTAGGCCACAGGACATCAGATCTATCCCCCAAGAGCCAGATAACCAGTTCCCCTCCCTCATAGCCAGTGCTAACTGGTCCTACCCTCCCACCCCCAAAGTTGGCTAATCATTCCCTCCTGAGCCAGTTAACTGGTTATCCTTGAAACTGGATAACCTTTCAGAGAAATCAGTTAGTCATTAGACAGACTATCTCTGGAGGAGGAAAGTGCATTGCCTGCAGTCTGAAAGACAGGTGGGGTCTTTGTAGTTTGGAGAGGTATTTAAATTGTGGTGTGTGCATGTCTATTAAGAGAGCTATTGAATAATGATGGTAAATGTGTTTACCTACTGAAGCACCCTAGCTTGGCCAGTGTGGTAAACAAATTAGTTCATAAATATAACAAGTTAAATATAATAAATAGTACTGTAATAGAGGGAAACTAAGAGCTAGACTTACTAGGCTGTTCCAATTCACAAGCAGCAAGGAGGTCAGCAATAGTTAGCTGATCTCCAGCAATGAATGGTCGATCCTTGAGCCACACTGTCTCAAACTGATGAAGTGTGGTTTCCAATTTGTTTTGGTATTCCTCTACCTTTCTTGTGTTAACTTCTCTTCCAAACATCTTTGGTAGCAGAAACTGTAGAAATTCACTTTTAAAGCATTACAATGAAGATATACAGTGCACAAAAATGACTATTATAGTTATAAAACAATGCTGCAAAACTGATGGAAATTTACTTAATTTAAGGCCCCTCACCCATTAAGTGCTTAAACAATATAGCACTATGTAAATTATGAGTGATAGTCTTGACTATCACAGTTTCAAACAATCCAACAAATATAGCTTTTCTTGTATTTCTAAATAAATGGCAATGTATAGCTAAAAACTGATCAACACAACTCTTATTCATCAGGAAGTGGAATTTTGTAATTCTCACTGTTCCCATGCAAACTTGTATCGCCAAACATTTTTTCATGACAATGTTTATATGATTTAAATTTTAGAAGTGTGACCTATATGACCAGCTGGGAGGCAAGTCAAGATACAAGATTATGACTCTGGTAGTGTAAATGATGAATCAGTAAAACTATATTCTGAAAGGAAAATACAGTAAACTAAGTAAGGCTCAAATATCCAATTAATGAAATTTTTAATATGTAACTATAGTAAACCTCTAGGTAGTAGGCTGGTAGACAGCAACCTCCCAGAGAGGTACTACCGTCCTGCCAAACGAGTGTAAAATGATAATCTGTAATTGTTGTACGTGATGGTAGGATTGCTGGTGCTTTTTTTCTGTCTCATAAACATGCAAGATTTCAGGTACATCTTGCTGCTTCTACTTACACTTAGGTCACACTACACATACATGTACAAGCATATATATACACACCCCTCTGGGTTTTCTGCTATTTTCTTTCTAGTTCTTGTTCTTCTTTATTTCCTCTTATCTCCATGGGGAAGTGGAACAGAATTCTTCCTCAGTAAGCCATGCGTGTTGTAAGAGGCGACTAAAATGCCGGGGGCAAGGGGCTAGTAACCCCTTCTCTTGTATAAATTACTAAATTTAAAAAGAGAAACTTTCATTTTTCTTTTTGGGCCACCCTGTCTTGGTGGGATACGGCCGGTTTGTTGGAGCGAAAAAAAAAAAATTGCAAGATTTCAGGTACGTCTTGCTACTTCTACTTACACTTAGGTCACACTACACATACATGTACAAGCATATATACACACACCCCTCTGGGTTTTCTTCTATTTTCTTCCGTAAGCCATGCATATTGTAAGAGGCGACTAAAATGCCAGGAGCAAGGGGCTAGTAACCCCTTCTCCTGTATAAATTACTGAATTTAAAAAGAGACTTTTGTTTTTCTTTTTGGACCACCCTGCCTTGGTGGGATACGGCCAGTTTGTTGAAAAAAAAAAACATGAATGGTTTCAGGTATGTCTTGCTACTTCTACTTACACTTGGGTCACAGTGCACATGCATAGACAAGCATATATACACACACCACTCTGAGTTTTCTTCCATTTCCTTTCTAGTTCTTGTTCTTGTTTATTTCCTCTTATCTCCATGAGGAAGCAGAACACAATTCCTCCTCCATGAGCAATGTATGTCATAAGAGGTAACTAAAATGCTTGGAGCAAGGGGCTAGTAACAACCTTCTCTTGTATAAATTACTAAATTTAAAAAGGGAAAATTTCATTTTTCTTTTTAGGTCACCCTGCCTTGGTGGGATATGGCTAGTTTGCTGAAAAAAAAAAAAACTACAGTAAACCCTCATAGTGGACCTCAATATTATGGACTTTTCAAAGAATAGGTAAAATCGACTATGCAGGTAAATTGTACCTTTAACTCATGCTTATGGCCATGTTGATAAGTGTCCTCAGCAGACACAGTGTGGGTCTGTCGTCAATCCCTGGCGTGGGTGAAACAACAGCATGTCAAGTTTTAAAAACCACTTGCCTTTACTCACTCCTATCTCACACACACACATGCCTGCTGGATGTCCAAGCCCCTTGCATACAAAACCTCCTTTACACCCTCCCACTCTTTCCTAGGGTAACCTCTACTCTGCCTTCCCCCACTATAGATTTATACACCCTTTTAGTCATCTTATTTTGCTCCATCCTCTCTAAATGTCTGAACCACCTCAACAACCTCTCCTCAGCCCTCTGGTTAATACTTTTAGTAACCCCACACCTCCTCTTAATCTCCAAATTATGAATTCTCTGCATAATATTTACACCACACACTGCCCTCAGACATGCCATCTCCACTGCCACCAGCCTCCTCCTCACTGCAACATTCACAACCCATGTTGGTACCACTACACTCTCATACATTTCCCTTTTTGCCTCCATGAATGATGTTCTTTGTCTCCACAAATGTCTCAATGCACCACCCACCTTTTTCCCCTCATCAATTCTATGGTTTACCTAGTTTTTCACAGACCCATCTGCTGACAAGTTCACTCCCAACTATTTGAACACATTTACTTCCTTCATACTCCCTCCTTCTATTCTGATATCCAATCTTTCATTATCTAAATTATTTTGTTACCTTCATCATCTTACTCCTTCCTTGTTCACTTTCAATTTTCATTTTTTATATACCCTCCCAAATTCATCCACCAACCTTGGCAACTTTTCTTCAGAATCTCCCAAAACCACAGTGCCATCAGCAAAAAGCAAATGTGACTAACTCCCACTCTGTATTAGATTCTGCATATTTCAATCCCACATTTCTTCCCTACACCTTAGCATTCACTTCTTTGACACCCCATCTATAAATATGTTAAACAACCATGGTGACATTACACATCCCTGTCTAAGGCCTACTTTTACTAGAAAATAAACTCCCTCTCTCTTACATACCCTAACCTGAGCCTCACTACTCTCAAAAACTCTCAAACTGCTTTCAGTAACTTACTAACTATTCCATTCACTTGCAACATCTGCCACATTTCTCCCATATCCACCCTGAATCCAAAAATGCAAGAAAACTAACTTACCATAATCTAAATATTGTTTACTTGCATATTTCAATGTAAACACTTAGTCTACACATCCCCTACCCTTTCTAAAGCCTCCTTGTTTATCTGAAATTTATTCTTACTGTTTTTATCATTCTGATTTTAATGGACACCCAGACATTCCCATCTATTACTCTCTTACATAGAGGGTTTACTATATACTAAGCATGTTTTACCTTATGCTGAAAGAACATCGAACCATTCACACGAGTATTAATATGCTGCCATTCAAGATATTCATCCACTCGTGCCTGGATTCTGGAGTCTTTGGGATACCAATGATCAGCAACATTAAACTGCCGATGTAAGTATCGCAATATCGCGATGCTGCAAGAGATATGAACAATACAAATTTAACAACTGTATATATTACTGTACATTAATACAATGAATGTTAACCAATATTAAAGTGCTTAAATTTAACTTAAAAACTGTAATTCTGTAACACACCCTACAAAGTATTGCTATCCTTTCCATTTTAATTAATCCTACTTCCCTATCTTTAATTGCATTCTCCATTTTTATTTCACAAACTCATTTATTTCTATTTATTTATTCCTGAAAATTTGTACTTAGTAGTTTACACAGTAGTCTCCCCCATATCCACGGATGATACGTTCCAAGACCTACCGTGGATAGTAGCAAACCCTATATATAAGTCATTTTTCATTTACATACATGCCTGTAATAAAGTTTAATTGATAAATTACACACAATAAGACATTACCAACATTAAATAATAATAAAATACATTGTACATTATAATACTTCACAAATGGAAGATTCATTCTTGATGTACGTTTTAGCAACCTCAACAAACAATTTTTTTGTAACACGCTATAATTTATTTTTATGTAACACTTCAGCCCGGGGAAAAAAATCATCTCTTTTTTTTTGGGGTTATTAAAAAAAATTTTTTTTAGGACTAAAAGCAATAATAAAAAAACCATAATGGGGGTTCTTTTTTTCAAAATCATATTGTCTGTATTTAAATGTTAAAAAATAAATTTATTCCGGTCATGTTTAATATTTTTATTTATTATTTGAATTTATGAGAAGTGTCAAATTTGGGTGTTTAAGGTACACGATAATGCAAACCCATTAAGTTTTTTCATTTAAAATTTAATTTGGGGTGGGGGGTAAAGTGGGGGGTGGACCCAAGGTGGGGATGGTGGGTGGGTGCTGTCTGCTGTGTGGGGTATTATGTGGGGATTGGTGGTGAGTGCAGTTGGTGGAGAAAGGGTGGTTGGATAAAGATGGAGTGGAGGGCATTAAGGGGGGGAAAAAAAAGGGAAAAAGTTGGGTGGGGGTGGAGGGGAGGGGTTGTTGGGGGGATGGTGGGGGAAAGGGCCATATGGTTGGGGGGGGAATTGTGGGTGATGGGGGGGTGATTGGGGTTTTGGGGGGTTGGCTGGTGGGAAAATAAAGAAGGTAGGGTGGAGGCAAAAGGTGGAATGGTAGGGGTGGATGTGTGGGGGATTTTTTAGGGGGGGAAAAGGTTGGGGGTTGTGGGATGGAGGTTGTGGGAAGGGGGGGGTGTTGGGGCTGGGGAATAAGGGCAGGAGTGGTGGGGGGGAAAATGAGCGTGGTTGGGAAGAAAAGGGATGGGGGATTTAACGGTTGTGGATGGAGGTTGGGGGAAGGGGTCGTTCTTTCCATAAACCATTTTATAATAATTTTAAATTTAAAACAAATATATAAAAAATTTTTAATAATGTAACCTGTTTTTTAATTTAAATTATAATATTAATTAATTAATTAACAAAACATAAAAATTTTAAAAAATTTTCTTATTTTTAACATAACAATTTTTTTTGGGTATTTTAACGAACCGGGGAAGTACCCCGCCTGCGATGCTGTGAAACAAAAACCTGTAACTGTTTTGCTGAGGGTAGATTGCTGGTTTTTTTTTTCTTTTAAAAAAACACGCTAAATAACAGGGAATCTTGCTCTCCTATTTTTTTTGGTCCATTTCCCAAAGACACGACATGCAAATATATAACATACATCTAGGTTTTTTTCTCCTTTTCTAAATAGTCTTTGTTTTTTTTATTTTTCTATTGTCCGGGGGAAAGTAAAAAAGAATTTTTCCCCTCCGTAAGCCTGCGTGTGATGGGGCGATAAAAATCCCGGGGAGAAATGGGCTAGTAACCCCTTCCCCTGTATCAATTACTAAAAAAGAGAAGAAGAAAAACTTTTAAAAGGGTTTGCTTAAATGTGCGGGTGTAGTGGGGATGACAAAAAAACGGGATGATTGCTGATGTTATGAATAAAAAGAATTGGGATGCCCTGGCCCTAAGGAAAAAAGCGAAGGGGGTAGGAGAGTTTCAGGGGGGGGGAAAAAAAGGGGATTAAATCTGGGTATTGAGAGGTTAGGAAAAGGGAAAGGGGGTACAGTAATGTTAAATGTCGTTTGGAGGGAAAAGGAATATGAATGTGTAATTAAGAATTTTTGGGGATTCCCCCTTCAGGGCGTCCCGTAGACTCGGGGGTCGGTGAGTGTAAAACCGAGATCTATGCAAAATTCTAGCGCCGTCAAATTTGCGGGGAAGCGCTCATAGGCCTACTATGAAGAATGGGTTGCCCCGTGGGTGTGGCCTAAAAAAAAAATCTGGGGCCCTGATGCTTTGTGGGAAGCGGCCGTGCCCTTGTTCACCATGCCTCGTCGCAAGTCACCTCACTCCCGGAAAATGGGACTCTCCTTTTCCTATTGAAGTTCTGAACTGATGGAAGTGGAAATGAAGACGAATTCTAGGGGGGGCTTTGATCAGTTAGTGACCGAAAAGAATGCCAGGATACGAAAAAGTGCAAAAAAACCCGACGATCCTCCCCTTCTACCTCTGTGGGGCACTCGTGACTCCGGCGGGTGTTCCTAAACGTAAAGAAAACTAATATTTTCCCGGGGCCGGGCCTCTGATTTCGTAAGACGATGATTCTGACGGGGTTTTGTGATTTATTGCGCTCGACGATCTTTTCGAGTAGTGATAGTGGGGAAAAACAAATTCCCAGTGAAGCGTGGTATTTCGCCGCCGTGCGCTGGGGTAGTGTACCCTATGCTGTGCTAGGGGAGGAGTACACCCGTAGTACATCCCGGGTCATCCCGGAGTACACCCCGTGGCCCTACACCCGTTTTGGTAGTGATAGTGAGGGATGGGCTAATTGGATGGGGGCCACAAAATCAGTGGATGGTGTTAGTGGGGGCTGGGGGTGGTAGTGGCACCCCCATGCGTGACTCGCTGCTCCAGGGGGGGACCCAGCTGCTGACTCGTATTAAGGAAAAAGGGAGCATCCCCGAGCCGCCAAAACCCACCCGTTCAACACCTATGTGTCCAGTATCCCCAGCAAACCGTATCTGGGTTTGGCAGAAAAACCCAATTTTTTTCCCCCAGCCCCACCATTTTGATGACTCTCAAAGGGAATTCTCCTACCTGCCCCCTTGGAAACCCCACGGCCAATGAAGGGAATTCTTTGAATTTTCTTTGCCCAGCCTTTTGGGGGAAAATTATTGTCAGGGAAAGTAATAATATTTTCAGTACACCAGGGCAAATCGATCCTATCACCACGTAAAGACTACCAGGTGGAAAGGCACTGTTCAAAAATGTTTTTGCTTTTTGCAACAATAATGTTATGCCTCACTCTTAAAAGCATAAATAAAAGCATACTGGTCCCAGATCGGCAAATTTTGTACCCCATCCTTCATGAAAAAATACCGTAAAAGGGTTTATCTTACTGTTACGTATGTTGCACTTCTTGACAAAACCCGGGCCTGACAGAAGTGACGGTTATACAAATTAGAAATTTTTTCATGATCCAAACAAAAGTTCGGATATACTTTTATCCATTCAAGAACTTGAAATTGGAGTCTTGATTTTGTTTAAAAGGGTTTTGACGTCATTCAAGCAGTATTATACCGAGCAAAGGCCGCTTTGGTAAAAAAAATTGTTTGTCTCTGTGATTGTGACAGTGGCCTGGTTTGGATATTGTTGTATACACGGGTTATAAAACATTGAAAGATCCCAAGATTTTTTGGGGGGTTATCAGGTGACGTAGTGAGAAAAAGATGGCACCATATCGGTAAGGGCCTACATTATATACGATAATGTACACAAGCCCATTATCAGTGATTTCATGCGAGTGAAAAAAGACAGATGTGTGGGCACAGTGCGTTCTAATCGTAAACATATGCCCAGGCTAATGCAGGTGTTCGGGGTGGACGTGCAGGTTTTACCCCCAATACATCATGGCTTACGGTGGCAGAAAAACAAAGAGTCACATTTTTGCAACCATTCCCCGTAAGAAATGAAAGCAGTGGCAAAGTTGATCGAGTGACTAATGAACGTATTCGAAAACCGTGAAGTGATTGATTATACACAAAACAGCGCTTGGTTGAAAAGTGTGCAGCGATTGGTTTTGTTGACTGTGTTGTAAGAGTTACAAGTGGTACATGAAACTTTTTTTCCATCTCATGGACTTTAAATGCTGAATGCATATAATATGTACCAAAAAAAGACGGGTAAAGACCACCGTATGGTGAATTTTTTTTTGTTGTTGTAGACAACTCAAAATGAAGTACCAGGTAACAACCCCTGCTACAACAAGGCCCTCGAATTCATCACAAATACCCCAAGGTTTGAGGAGAGAAGGTGATCATTTCATAATACATTTCCTTCAACTAAAAAGAAATTTGCTCAGAAGAGAATGCTTTGTCTGGCAAAAACAAAACGACGGAAAAAAGACGCAAAGACACTGGGTTTAGTGTGAGGAATGAAAGGTGCCCTGTGAGGGTCCCTTGTTTCAAGGAGTTTTCCCCAAGCCCAGCAGTTCTAAAAACCATGCCATGATTGTAAATATGTAAAAAATATGATAGAACATTGTATTATACAATATTTGTGCATGTTTATTGTAATAAACAATATGGTAAACAAAAAATGATAATAATTTAGTGCGGTTATTTTGTTCAATACAGTGAGTTTTAATATAAATTTATACAGTATTGGTCTTCCCGGCCCCAAAAGTTTGTAGGAATAGAAAAAAAATTGGAAAAGAAAAGAAAAAACAACAAAAAAACAAAAAAATATAAAACGCGATGTGGAAATTCGTCGATTTTGCCGCCCCCAATATTTTCTACAAACTTCTTTGGGACTGTTTTCGGGAAGTACTGATCAGATTTTAATTTTTTTTTTTTTATTTTCCTTCAAAAAATATGCTCTTTAATTCGAAGAAAAAAAAAATTTTTTTTTTTTTTTAAAATTCCTTGGAAACTGGTGGTGACTTCAGATTTTGGCCCTTTGGGCCCTGAAAGGGGAACCCCTTTTGGGTCCGTCCCG